CTATAAAGGTTTAGTCCTGACCTTTTTATTAACTATTGCTTAACTTATACATGCAAGCATCTGCGCACCAGTGAGAACACCCAAATCAGCCCTACCGGAAAATGGAGCCGGCATCAGGCACATCCACCCCATAGCCCACGACGCCTAGCTTACAGCCACACCCCCAAGGGAGACAGCAGTAATTGACATTAAACCATAAGCGAAAGCTTGATTTAGTTAAAGCAGAGAGGGGCGGCCAATCTCCGTGCCAGCAGCCGCGGTTATACAGCCATAGCCTCAAGTTAATAAAGACGGCGTAAATTGTGGCTAGGATTTAAATCTCCCAAGTTAAGGTGAAAAGGTCACCGAGCCATGAAAAGCTTAGAATTGAACCACTAACATCAATATTAAATTAACCTTAATCCCCAAGACACTCCCGAACCCACGAAAGCTAGGGCACAAACTAGGATTAGATACCCTACTATGCCTAGCCGTTAACAAAGGTGTATTAATTACATACTACACTCGCCAGAGAATTACGAGCCATCGCTTAAAACTCAAAGGACTTGACGGTACTTCGCACCCACCTAGAGGAGCCTGTCCTATAATCGACAGTACTCGATATACCTTACCAACTTTTGCCTTAAACGTCTAACAGCCTGTATACCGCCGTCGCAAACTAGCCCCCTGAGGGACAAACAATTTAGTACAATAGCTTATTTGAGCTAATACGTCAGGTCAAGGTGCAGCCAATGAGTTGGAAGAGATGGGCTACATTTTCTACCACATAGAAATATGTCACGGAGAGCCCTGTGAAACCAGGACTGTCAAAGTTGAATTTAGCAGTAAATTGGGAAAAGAGTGCCCAATTGAAGATGGCCCCGAAGTACGTACACACCGCCCGTCACCCTCTTCGAATTATAGCACAACCTGTTACATAACACAATAGCAGCCAATGAGACGAGGAAAGTCGTAACAAGGTAAGCGTACCGGAAGGTGCGCTTGGAACATCAAAATGTAGCTTAAGACAAAGCATTCTGTTTACACCTGAAATATGTTTATTTAAATAAACCATTTTGACATACCCACTCTAGCCCTAAGAACCCATTCCCAAACACTATTTAACAAAACCAAATCAAAACATTTTCCTAACCTCAGTATCGGTGAGAGAAAAGGCAACAGGCGCAATAGAGACAGTACCGCAAGGGAAAGATGAAATAAAAATTCAAATCATAAAAGTATAACACAGCAAAGATTAACCCTTTTACCTTTTGCATAATGGTTTAGCAAACCCTCACGCGGCAAAGCGAACTAAAGTCGCACCTCCCGAAACTAGGCGAGCTACTAATCAGCAGCTTAACTCGCGCTAACCCGTCTCTGTGGCAAAAGAGTGGGAAGACTGATTAGTGGAAGTGAAAAGCCTAACGAGCCTAGTGATAGCTGGCTGCTTGGGAACAGAATGTTAGTTCTACTGCAAATTTTTCTTACTCACCACCACCAAAGGACAAAGAAGAATTTTCAAGCTATTTAATGGAGGTACAGCTCCATTAACACAGGACTCAACCTTCACCTTAAGGTAAACCCACTTGCACCCTAAATGTAGGCCTTAAAGCAGCCACCATAACGAAAGCGTCAAAGCTCGCAACTCTAAAAATCTCCCCAACAAAGTGAACCTTACACCACAACCAAGCCCTTCTATAAACTTAGAAGAGACCCTGCTAAAATAAGTAATAAGAAACTGACTTTCTCCTTAGCGCAGGCCTACATACCTCATGACATACTATTGATGATTAACATAGCCCCTACTACCCACCCCTAAGCAAGGCACCTTAATTGTTAACCCGACACAGGAGCGCAACAGGAAAGGCTAAAACCTGCAAAAGGAACTCGGCAAACAAGGATCCCGACTGTTTACCAAAAACACAGCCCCCAGCCCCACAAGTATTGGGGGTGATGCCTGCCCAATGACTCTAAGTTGAATGGCCGCGGTATCTACAACCGCGCGAAGGTAGCGTAATCACTTGTTCTTTAAATAAGGACCAGTATGAAAGGCTAAACGAGAATCCATCTGTCTCTTGCAGGCAGCCAATGAAATTGATCTCCCTGTGCAAAAGCAGGGATTCATACATTAGACGAGAAGACCCTGTGAAACTTTAAACCCCTAGGCCACAACAAATGTAACCTAAACCCACATAGGCCCACTATCATTAGACCCCTTGACCTAGTGTTTTCGGTTGGGGCGACCCCAAAATAAAAAAAACTTTCCCGGAAAACAGTAACATGACTACTACTAACTAAGACCTACACCCCAAAGTGCTTAAATGTAATCAGATCCGGCAAAGCCGATCTATGAACCAAGCTACTCCAGGGATAACAGCGCAATCCCCCTCAAGAGCCCTTATCGACAGGGGGGTTTACGACCTCGATGTTGGATCAGGACATCCTAATGGTGTAACCGCTATTAATGGTTCGTTTGTTCAACGATTAAAGTCCTACGTGATCTGAGTTCAGACCGGAGCAATCCAGGTCGGTTTCTATCTATGAATGTGAACCTTTCTAGTACGAAAGGACCGAAAGAGCAGGGCCTCTGCCACAAAAGCACGCCCTACCTAAAGCCTAATGCAACCAACTAAATTGGCAATCAGGACAACCATTTTCCTCAATACAAGAGTGAGCTGGGTTGGCAGAGCCCGGTTAATGCAAAAGGTCTAAGCCCTTTACCCAGAGATTCAAATTCTCTACCCAGCAATCGGCTTCCTTATAGCTGCCCCTTTTGTGCTTTATATTATCCTAATCTTGATCGCAGTAGCATTCCTAACAGCCCTGGAACGAAAAATTATTGGTTACATACAACTGCGAAAAGGCCCCAATACTGTAGGACCCTTAGGCCTCCTACAACCGTTTGCTGATGGTCTCAAACTCATCATCAAAGAATTAACCTTCCCCATTCTTGCTACCCCCACCCTATTCATCCTGTCCCCTGCAGTAGCTTTAATCTTATCCCTTACCGTATGAGCTCCACTCCCAATACCATTCTCCCTAGCCAACCTAAACCTGGGTATACTATTTATATTAGCCATATCCAGCCTAGCAGTCTACTCCCTACTCTGATCTGGCTGAGCATCAAACTCAAAATACGCCCTAATAGGGGCCTTACGAGCCGTTGCCCAAACCATCTCCTATGAGGTAACACTAGCTATCATTATTCTATCAATCGTCCTTCTCAGTGGTGGGTTCTCACTACACACACTAGCTATTACTCAAGAGCCAACATACTTGGCATTAACCACATGACCCTTACTAATAATATGATATACATCAACGCTCGCAGAAACAAACCGAGCCCCCTTCGACTTAACAGAAGGAGAATCAGAGCTAGTTTCAGGATTTAATGTCGAATACAGTGCAGGATTATTTACACTTTTTTTCCTAGCCGAGTACGCCAATATTTTACTAATAAATATTTTAACCACCATCCTATTCCTCAATACATCAACTAACTTCTCCATACAAATACTTTTTACCATCACCCTAATAACCAAATCCATCCTACTAACTATAGGGTTCCTATGAATTCGAGCATCATACCCTCGGTTCCGCTACGACCAGCTAATACATCTTCTATGAAAGAGCTTCCTGCCAGCCACACTAACAATTTGTCTATGACACACATCATTTCCAGTGTCAATGTTTGGCCTGCCAGCGATAAGGATTCGTGCCTGAACGCCAGAGGACTACTTTGATGAAGTAGAAAATGGGGGTTAAAGTCCCCCCGAACCCTAGGAGGGCAGGAATTGAACCTACACAAAAGAAACCAAAATTCTTTCTACTTCCATTATAGTACCACCTAAAATAGAAGGGTAAGCTAATCAAGCTATTGGGCCCATACCCCAACAATGAAGGACAACCCTTCCTCTTCTAACATATGCCGCTTTTCCAACCCATCATCCTAACAACACTGACTATCACCACATTCATCTTTTTATCATCCACGCATCTTGTACTAATATGAGTAGCACTAGAGCTAAGCACACTAGCGATTCTCCCCCTAATTGCCACTAAATCACATCCCCGGGCTATCGAGGCATCCACAAAATATTTCCTCACACAAGCAACTGCTTCCGCACTGATTATTTTCTCAGGAACATTAAATTACACCATAACAGGAAACTGCCAAATCACTGAACTAACCAACCCAAACTTAATAATAGTCCTGATATTAGCCATATTCATCAAAATTGGCCTAGTCCCCTTCCATTTTTGAGTTCCCGAAACACTCCAAGGTATAGCTCCAACTGCCGCCATCTTCCTACTAACTTGACAAAAACTAGGCCCATTAATTATATTATATCTAATAAGCCCACTAATCAACTTTGAAATCCTTTCCATAATAGCCATTCTATCCGCCATAACTGCCGGTTGACTTGGATTAAACCAAACCCAAGTTCGAAAGCTAGTGGCTCTATCCTCCATCGCCCAAATAGCTTGGACCCTCGTAATCATTAAATACGCACCATCACTTACAATTCTAGCCTTCTACTTGTATTCACTTACCATCTCCGCCACACTCCTCACCCTAAACAAACTATCAACAACGTCTATTAGCGGCCTTCTACTCTCCTTTTCAAAAACCCCTATTATTTCATTCCTACTAACAATCTCCCTACTGTCCCTGTCAGGCCTCCCCCCTTTAGCCGGCTTCTTACCAAAATGATTAACAATTGATATACTCATAGCAGAAGAAGCTATCTGAATCGCCTTTATAATACTTATAGCATCACTCCTAAGCCTATTCTTCTACCTACGACTATGGTACAACTCCGCATCCACCACCCCCCCCAACACCACAAACACTTCTCGCCTATGACGAAAACCCCTCCCCAAAACAAACCTCACAATTAACCTATTAAGCATAGCTGCCTTTACCCTTATCCTAGCAGCCACTTTAATGAAAGCTATCACAAAACAATAAAGAAATTAGGTTTAATCTTCAAGCCAAGGGCCTTCAAAGCCCTAGACAGGAGTTAATAACCTCCTATTTCTTGATAAGGTTTATAGGGCTCTATCCTATGTCCTCTGAATGCAAATCAAAAGCTTTAATTAAGCTAAAACCTTACTAGACAAATGGGCCTTGATCCCATAAACAATTAGTTAACAGCTAATCACTCCAACCAGCGAGTTTTTGTCTATATTTTAAGCCCAGGTGCAACTTAAAGCACATCTGCGAGTTTGCAATTCGCCGTGAATTTCACTACAGGACCTGACAGAGAGAGGATTTAAACCTCTGTAAGTAGATTTACAGGCTACCGCCATCAACACTCGGCCACTCTACCCGTGAACATAAATCGCTGACTTTTCTCCACCAATCACAAAGACATCGGCACCCTATATTTTATCTTCGGAGCCTGAGCAGGAATAGTTGGAACAGCCCTGAGCCTACTCATTCGCACAGAACTAAGCCAACCCGGACCCCTTATAGGAGACGACCAGATTTACAATGTCATTGTCACCGCACATGCCTTCATTATAATTTTCTTCATAGTAATACCCATCATAATCGGGGGATTCGGAAACTGACTACTACCATTAATAATTGGAGCACCTGACATAGCATTCCCCCGAATAAACAACATAAGCTTCTGATTACTCCCACCATCATTTACTTTACTCCTCTTCTCAGCCTTCGTTGAAACTGGAGCTGGAACTGGATGAACAGTCTACCCACCACTAGCAGGAAACCTAGCCCACGCTGGACCCTCAGTAGATCTAACCATTTTCTCCCTTCATCTCGCAGGGGTATCTTCAATTCTAGGGGCAATTAATTTTATTACCACAGCCATAAACATAAAACCCCCAGCAATATCACAATACCAAACACCTCTTTTCGTATGGTCTGTGCTTATTACAGCCGTACTACTCCTACTCTCTCTACCAGTCTTAGCTGCTGGAATCACCATACTCCTAACCGACCGAAACTTAAACACAACCTTTTTCGATCCATCTGGTGGCGGAGACCCAATCCTGTATCAACACCTCTTCTGATTCTTCGGACACCCAGAAGTCTACATCCTCATCCTCCCAGGATTCGGAATAATTTCCCACGTGGTTACCTTTTACTCAGGGAAAAAAGAACCATTTGGGTATATAGGGATAGTATGAGCAATAATATCAATTGGCTTCTTAGGCTTCATTGTCTGAGCTCACCATATATTTACAGTAGGAATAGACGTTGATACCCGAGCATATTTTACTTCAGCCACAATAGTTATTGCTATCCCCACAGGAGTAAAAGTATTCAGCTGATTAGCAACAATTTATGGGGGAATTATAAACTGACAAGCTCCAATGCTCTGAGCACTAGGCTTCATCTTCCTATTTACAGTAGGAGGACTGACCGGAATCGTCCTAGCCAACTCATCATTAGACATTATTCTCCACGACACCTACTATGTAGTAGCCCACTTCCATTATGTGTTATCAATAGGGGCAGTATTCGCAATTATAAGTGGGTTCACTCACTGATTCCCACTATTTACAGGGTTTACTCTACACCCTATATGAACGAAAACCCAATTCATAATCATGTTTACAGGAGTAAACCTGACCTTCTTCCCACAACACTTCCTAGGCCTCTCCGGAATACCACGACGATACTCAGACTACCCAGACGCATATGCCTTCTGAAACATGATCTCGTCAATCGGGTCATTAATTTCCATAGTCTCTGTAATCCTCCTAATATTTATTGTGTGAGAAGCATTCTCATCAAAACGTAAAGTTCAAACACCAGAAATAGCAACCACAAATATTGAATGACTCAATAGCTGCCCTCCATCCCACCACACCTATGAAGAGCCAGTATTTGTTCAAACACAATCCAAACCAAAAAAGACCACAACAAGGACAGGGGGAATTGAACCCCCACCGTTTGGTTTCAAGCCAACCGCAACACGACATGCTCTGTCCTTACTGAAGAGTTAGTATATATACATTACTCGCCCTTGTCAAGGGCGAAATATAGGACATACCCCTTTACTCTTCTATGGCAAACCCGATACATCTAGGGCTCCAGGATGCAATATCCCCACTAATAGAAGAACTCCTATATTTCCATGACCACACATTAATAGTCATTTTCCTAATCAGCATGCTTGTACTCTACACCATCTCCGTCCTCCTACTATCAAAATTATATCACACTAACGCCACAGATGTACAAGAAGTAGAAATAATTTGAACAATTCTACCAGCCATCATCCTAATTACCATTGCCCTCCCATCACTTCGCACTCTCTACTTAATAGACGAAACTAGCAACCCATGCCTAACCATTAAAGTCATTGGCCACCAATGATATTGAACCTACGAGTACACAGACTTTTCACAGCTAGAATTTGACTCTTACATAGTACCGTCACAGGACCTCCTACCAGGACACTTCCGCCTGTTAGAAGTAGATCACCGTATAATTACACCAACAGGTGCAACTACCCGGACACTAATTACAGCAGAAGACGTACTACACTCCTGAGCAGTACCGTCCTTAGGAATTAAAATAGACGCAGTACCAGGACGCCTGAACCAAACCTCAATTACACTAGCTAACCCAGGAATTTTTTATGGTCAATGCTCCGAAATCTGTGGAGCCAACCACAGCTTCATGCCTATCGTAGTAGAAGCAATCCCAATACAATACTTCCAAAAATGGTTAGAAACAAACGTTTCTTCATCACTAAGAAGCTAAACTGGTCAAGCCCTAGCCTTTTAAGCTAGTATTGGGGAACACACCAACCCCCTTAGTGAAATGCCCCAACTAAACCCAAAACCCTGACTTATGGTTTTCCTTACCACTTGATTTATATTAATTATTGCTACACACCCAAAAATTGCCTCCCTAAAATTTATAAATAACCCAGCACCCTTTCACCCCACACCAATTAAACCATGACCTTGGCCACAAATCTAAGCTTATTTGATCAATTTTCAATCCCTAAACTCCTAGGAATCCCCATACTAATCCCCGCCATATTAATAACAAGCATGTTATTATATAACCCAGAAGACCGATGATTGTCTAACCCAACAACAACCATCCAATCCTGATTAATTGCAAAAACAACTAAACAAATTATAGCCCCAGTGAATCAACCAGGACACAAATGATCCCTAATATTGATTTCGCTACTAACCTTTCTTCTTATCAATAACCTCCTAGGACTACTCCCATATACTTTTACACCAACAACGCAACTATCTATAAACCTAGCCTTAGCCCTACCCTTATGAATGGCAACAGTATTAATTGGGTTACGAAATAAACCAACCGCCTCCTTAGCTCACCTACTTCCAGAAGGAACTCCAACACCCCTAATTCCAATCTTAATTTTAATTGAGTCCATTAGTCTATTAATCCGACCAATCGCTCTTGCCGTACGACTAACAGCCAACCTAACCGCCGGACACCTTTTAATTCACCTAATTGCCGCCACAGCGCTGAACCTACTAATAACATCCATACTACTAGCTGCACTGACCCTAACTATTTTAACACTACTAACGCTACTAGAAATTGCAGTAGCAATTATTCAAGCCTATGTTTTTACCCTACTCCTCTCCCTCTACCTACAAGAAAATGTATAATGACACACCAAACACATCCGTTTCACATAGTTAACCCTAGCCCTTGACCCATTATAAGTGCCATAGCTGCCATAATACTAACAACAGGACTGGTACTATGATTTCACCACAATCTCAACCTCCTTCTGCTATTAGGACTAATCTCAACACTAATGATCATGTATCAATGATGACGAGATATTGTTCGAGAAAGTACCTACTTAGGCCACCACACCCCACCAGTTCAAAAAGGGTTACGCTACGGCATAATTCTATTTATTACATCAGAAGTTTTCTTCTTCCTAGGATTCTTCTGAGCATTTTACCACTCTAGCCTAGCCCCAACCCCAGAACTAGGAGGACAATGACCACCAACTGGGATCACCCCACTAGACCCATTTGAAGTCCCTCTCCTAAACACCGCAGTACTTCTGGCCTCAGGGGTCACAGTGACATGAGCACACCACAGCCTAATAGAAGCCAACCGAACGCCCACCATCCACGCCCTTACACTTACCATTATTCTAGGACTGTACTTTACTGCCCTTCAAGCAATAGAATACTATGAAGCCCCATTCACTATCGCAGATAGTACCTACGGATCTACCTTTTTCGTAGCTACAGGCTTCCACGGCCTCCATGTAATCATCGGATCGACATTCCTAATAGTCTGCCTATACCGACAAATTATACATCACTTCACCTCGAACCACCACTTTGGCTTTGAAGCTGCCGCCTGATACTGACACTTTGTAGACGTGGTATGACTATTCCTCTACATCTCAATCTATTGATGAGGCTCCTGCTCTTCTAGTATTGACAATACAAATGACTTCCAATCATTAGACCCTGATATTATTTAACCCAGGGAAGAGCAATAAACTTGCTCACCATGTTTATACTAGCTATAGCCACTGCAGTGGCTGTAGCCACCCTAAACCTATTAATATCTGAAACAGCCCCAGACCCCGAAAAACTATCACCATATGAGTGCGGATTTGACCCACTAGGCTCAGCCCGACTACCATTCTCCATTCGGTTTTTTATAATTGCCATCTTATTCCTTTTATTTGATCTAGAAATCGCTATTCTACTACCCCTTGCATGAGCCCTACAACTTACAAACCTCATTAAAACAACAACATGAGCTATCATTATCTTTTTATTTATATTTATTGGTTTAGCATACGAGTGATCACAGGGGGGCCTAGAATGAGCAGAATAACCCACCCAACCCAAGGAGCTAGTCTAATGCAAGACCCCTAGCTTCGACCTAGAAAATCATGACTAGCCTCATGGCTCCCTATTGAGCACCCCCACCAACCTCATGTTCACCTGTTCCTTTATCATTTTTGCTATCGGACTCACCTTTCACCACACCCATCTACTCTCGGCCCTGCTCTGCCTAGAAGGCATAATACTTTCAGTTTTTATGCTATTGACAATATGATCCCTTAACTCTAACACCTCCTCCTTTATCCTCCCACTAACAGTACTAACCCTTTCAGCCTGCGAAGCAGGCATTGGTCTTGCCTTGCTAATTGCCTCAGCCCGCACACACAACACAACCAACCTTAAAAACCTTAACCTCCTCCAATGCTAAAACTCGTAGTACCAACAATAATGTTAATCCCCTCCACCTGCTTCACACATCACAAAACAATCTGACTATCACCAACAGCCTATTCTACAGCCATTATCATTTTAACCTTAATTGTCCTAAACCCAGGAGATATGCTCATAAATACTAATGGCCTCCTCTTGGGCAGCGATCAAATCTCTACACCTCTACTAATCCTATCATGCTGACTTCTCCCACTCATATTCATGGCCAGCCAAAGCTCCATATCCCAAGACCCAAACCCCCAAAAACGACTGTTCATTACCGCCCTAGCCCTTCTTCAACTCGCCCTACTACTTGTATTCATGGCCCTAGACCTAATATTATTTTATACCACGTTCGAAGCAACCCTTATTCCAACACTAATGGTAATTGCTCGTTGAGGCACCCAAACAGAACGCCTGGGGGCCGGAATATATTTCCTACTCTACACCATCACCAGCTCAATACCACTCTTAATAGCCCTCCTATGAATTTATAACATAAAAGGAACTCTATCCATCATACTTCTCCAACTAATATCACCAATAACACTCACATTCTGAACAGACATAATATTATGGCTATCCGTTCTACTCGCCTTCCTAGTAAAAGTCCCAATCTACGGCCTCCACCTATGACTCCCCAAAGCACACGTAGAAGCCCCAATTGCCGGATCCATAGTCCTAGCCGCAGTACTCCTAAAACTTGGAGGCTATGGATTATTACGAGTAACAAATCTATTAACAGAACAAAACAATTCCTCCTACACCCTACCACTAACAGTAGCACTATGAGGATCACTCATAACTGGCATAATCTGTTTACGACAAACAGACTTAAAATCCCTAATCGCCTACTCATCAGTAAGCCACATAGGACTTATAACAAGCTCAATCTTAACCCGAAACCAACTAGCCCTATCTGGCTCAATAACTATAATAATCGCCCACGGCCTAACATCCTCCATACTATTTTGTTTAGCTAACATCACCTATGAACGAACACACTCACGAACACTCCTACTAGCCCAAGGAGTACAACTTACCACCCCAACCATGACCTCCTGATGGCTACTAGCCTGCCTAACAAACATAGCACTCCCTCCAACAATTAATTTCATTGGAGAACTCACCCTTATAATCTCCTTATTTAGTTGATCAGACGTTACCATCCTACTAACAGGGCTAAGCGCATCCATCACTTCAATCTACACCCTCCACATATTCTCGTCCACCCAGCAAGGAACACTCCCCTCACACATCATTACAATAACCCCAACACAAACACGCGAACACCTTCTAATACTTATACACTCCGCACCATCACTTGCTCTCATCATGGCCCCCCAATTAATATGCTCTCAATAGCTAACAATAACAACTGCACCCACTATGAGAGCACCACAAGAACTGCTAATTCTCTACCCCGGATTTAACCACCCGGCTCTCATGTACTAATACCTATCTTCACTTCAGTGGATATAATTTAAACAAAATATTAGAATGTGAAGCTAAAAATAGGAAATCACCCCTCCTTATCCACCTAAACATCACAAGGCTTTCAACGGATAATAGTTTTCCATCGGCTTTAGGAGCCGAAGATCTTGGTGCAAATCCAAGTGACAGCATATGAATCCAGCTATCATGCTTTTCATACTACCACTAACCATTATATTATCGTCACTATTCCTTCCTTACTCAAAAATGAACAAACCATTCCACGCCAAAGTACTAGCAACAAAACTAGCATTCTTCTCCAGCCTACTTCCATTAGCCTTTTTTCTCTACGACGGATTAGTTGTTACCTCACACGAAGTTTATTGACTAGCCTTCAACGTATGCCCCATTCACATTAGCTTCACACTAGACAAATATTCAGTCCTCTTCCTACCAATCTCACTATTCGTCGCATGATCCATCATAGAATTTACTGTTAAATATATAGAATCAGACCCCAAAATCGACACCTTCTTCCGCTACCTTATTATCTTCACTTTAATGATAATAGTACTAGTAACCGCCGAAAATGTAGTTCAACTCTTCATTGGTTGAGAAGGAGTAGGCATTATATCCTATATACTCATTAACTGATGATCCTACCGATCAACCTCCAACAAAGCAGCCCTCCAGGCGGTGATTTACAACCGATTGGCAGACGTCGGCCTAGCAATCGCCCTAGCATGGATAGTCGTAAACAACCTCTCCCTGGACATTCAAGGCGTACGAGCCTCTCCAGACCTCGCTCTTATCCCCGCATTAGGCTTTATCCTAGCCGCCGCTGGAAAGTCCGCCCAATTTGGCTTCCACCCATGACTACCAGCAGCAATAGAAGGCCCAACCCCTGTATCCGCCCTACTACACTCAAGCACCATAGTAGTAGCAGGCGTATTTCTACTAATCCGAACCTCAAAATTAATTTATAGTAGTGAAACAGCAACTATAATCTGCCTGTTACTAGGAGCACTCACATCCCTGCTAGCGGCAACCTGCGCACTAACCCAAAATGATATAAAAAAAATCATTGCCTACTCTACTACCAGCCAACTAGGGCTGATAATAACAGCAATCGGACTAAAACAACCCGAACTCGCATTTATACATATCGCAACACATGCCTTCTTTAAAGCAATACTATTCCTTTGCGCCGGAGCAATTATCCACAATCTTAACAACGAACAAGACATCCGAAAAATAGGAGGCCTAAAAAAAGCAATGCCGATCACCTCATCCTGCCTAATTATTGGTGCCCTAGCCCTATCAGGAATGCCATTCATATCCGGCTTCTACTCAAAAGACGCCATCATCGAAGCACTTAACACCTCCGACATCAACTTCTTCTCACTAGCTATAACCCTAATCGCCACTACCTTCACTGTACTCTACAACCTACGCATAATTTACTTCGTAGTCCTAGGTAGCCCACGAATACCAACACTCTCTGCACTTCCAGAAGCCCGTCAAACCCTCAACCCAATCCTACGGCTGGCCGTAGGAAGTATTGCAGCAGGACTTCTAATTTCAATCAACATGCTTCCCTCCAACATTCCACAAATAACCATACCACCAGAAATTAAACTCGCTGCCCTGATCGTTACAGCCTTAGGATTCCTGACAGGCGCAGCCTTAATATCCACAGCCCCAACCCTCCAGCCATCCACCAAAGGCACCCAATCCCCCCTGCCCTTCAAAATAACCCACTTCTACTTTATTATCCACCACACACTATCGACCATTACTTTATGAATTAGCCAAAAATTATCAAATCATTTAACAGACCAAACACACTATGAAGCAACAGGACCCAAAATGCTAGCCTACCTCCAAATCCTAATAACTAAAGCCCTGACAAGCCTTCATAAATCCCGAATCAACTCATACCTAAAAATCATTGCCTTAGCTATAATACTTATCCTGCTACTATCCCTACCCTCAATGACCGAAGTGCCCCTCGACGATGACCCCGGACGAGACCTATAATTACAAATAACACAATCAACAAAGCCCAACCACTTAATGCAACAAAAACCCAACCTTCCAAATAAAATAACCCAACCCCTAGAAGTTCATTACTGATATCCTCACTCCAAACCTCCACAGCATCTAAAAAGCCCCCCAAGGTCCCTACCCATGTATACTTATACATACGATAACCCATCACCATCAACCCGACCCCACAAACACCGGCCACCCCTTTAGATGCTCCCGTCCCCCAAAATTCACAATACTCATCATCAGTGAACCCAACACAAAAAGCAAATACCACCAATAACCCACCTAGATAGATTAACAATACTACAATGGGCATAAAACTGCCTCCTCCAACCACCAATAAACCACTACTTAATACCGCAGCAAAGAGCAAACTTACCACCCCATAGTGTGTTGTAGCACCCGCCGCCACTAACACAACACCAACCAATATTAAACAACAAAGAAAAAGAAATGCAATTTCCATTATTTTCACTTGGACTATAAACCAAGACTTGAGGTACGAAAAACCTCCGTTGTACATTCAACTATAAAAACCACTTCAACCAAATGGCCCACCAACTACGAAAATCCCACCCCCTACTAAAACTTGTAAACCACTCATTAATTGACCTCCCCACCCCATCCAACATCTCCTATTGATGAAACTTCGGATCACTACTAGGATTCACCCTTTTAATCCAAATCCTATCAGGAGTTTTACTAATAATACACTTCCTAGCAGATGACACTATGGCCTTCGCATCTGTTGCTTACACCTCACGAGAAGTTTGATATGGTTGACTTATCCGAAGCCTCCACGCAAACGGAGCCTCCCTCTTCTTCCTATGCATCTTCTTACACATTGGACGTGGCTTATATTACGGCTCTTACCTACATGAAAATACATGAAACATTGGAGTCATCCTGCTCCTCTTATTAATAGCGACAGCATTCATAGGCTATGTCCTACCCTGAGGACAAATATCATTCTGAGGGGCAACCGTAATTACAAACCTCATGTCAGCCATCCCATATATTGGAGACTCCCTCGTAATCTGAATCTGAGGAGGCCCTTCAGTTAACAGCGCCACCCTAACACGCTTTACTACCTTACACTTTCTACTCCCATTCATTCTACTAGCAGCCATCATCACCCACCTCATATTTCTACATGAACAAGGCTCATTTAACCCCTTAGGACTGCCTCCCAACACCGACAAAGTCCCATTTCACCCATACTTCTCCCTAAAAGACGCTATAGGGATAATACTCGCCGTCACCTTACTTTCAACTTTAGCCCTATATCTCCCAAACCTCTTAGGAGACCCAGAAAACTTCACACCAGCTGACCCCATAAAAACCCCTAACCACATCAAACCCGAATGATACTTCCTATTCGCCTACACAATCCTACGATCCATTCCCAATAAGCTAATAGGAGTATTAGCTATATTTTCATCAATCCTAATTCTCTTCCTAATGCCCATGCTTCACACATCAAAACGACAATCAATAGCCATGCGCCCCCTATCCCAACTTCTATTTTGAACACTCGTCGCCGACTTCTTTGTATTAACCTGGATCGGAGGACAGCCCGTACAAGACCCCTACACACTAATCGGCCAAATAGCCTCCATAACCTACTTCACAATCATCCTTATTCTCATACCACTAACAGGCCAAGTAGAAAACTGAATTATTAAACCTCTACGATACCGATACTACGGACCCTGAAAAATCCCTATCATACCAACATGATCCTAAAAAGAACCATCTCACTCTTGTAGCTAAACCCCAAAGCGCTGGCCTTGTAAGACAGAAATGGAAGAAATCACACCTCCCCAAGAGTGTCATACTAACTCAAGAAGGCAGACATAATCCTGCTCCACTGGCCCCCAAAGCCAACATTCTTATTAAACTACTTCTTGAAACCTTGTCATCGTAGCTTAAACAACCAAAGCATAACACTGAAAATGTTACCATGGACAGACTTGTCCCGCATGACAACACCTCCATTTACATTTCTAAAACAGTATGTACCCCTTCTTTACTATGTATTATTAGGCATTCATTTATTTACCACTATCACCCATCCCTTAGTTCTTATTGATCAGCATCTCTCGTGAAATCACCATCCATTGTATTCATACTAACTCTTACTAGTCTCAAGTCCATAACTGGACACGGTTCACATTCATTGCTCTTCTTAGAGACCTCTGGTTATCACTCTCACGTACCCTTCTTGCGATTGCCTGGACATTCTTTCCTCTTCTTAGAGGCCTCAACCCGCACCGTATGGTCTCCACTCATTCAAGTCCGTGATCGCAGCATCTTCTTTCTTGATTGCTATTGGTTCTATCTTTTTTTGGGGAGATCTCATCCTCTACCCAGAGGCTTATATCTAAAGTCATTCAATTAAGGTGGTACATTATTCTTGCAAGTCGAATACCGATAGGCTTTCATGCGCATAGATAATTAATGCTCGTTATACATATTCATAATTCAGCATGCCCCCCCTCCCCCCAGTTTCTATTGGCCCCGGGGTCGGCTCTATCATAGCTTAAGTAGGTAAAAATAAAAAATAAATTCTCCTCTTAAAAATAAAAATAAATTTTTCTCTTTTAAAGATAAAAAATAAATTTTTCTCTTAAAAATAAAAATAAATTTTTCTCTTTTAAAGATAAAAAATAAATTTTTCTCTTTTAAAAGTAAAAATTTTAATTTAAACCTAGGCTTAAATACGTAAAAATAAAAATAAATTTTTCTCTTTTAAAGATAAAAAATAAATTTTTCTCTTTTAAAAGTAAAAATTTTAATTTAAACCTAGGCTTAAATACGTAAAAATAAAAATAAATTTTTCTCTTTTAAAGATAAAAAATAAATTTTTCTCTTTTAAAAGTAAAAATTTTAATTTAAACCTAGGCTTAAATACGTAAAAATAAAAATAAATTTTTCTCTTTTAAAGATAAAAAATAAATTTTTCTCTTTTAAAAGTAAAAATTTTAATTTAAACCTAGGCTTAAATACGTAAAAATAAAAATAAATTTTTCTCTTTTAAAGATAAAAAATAAATTTTTCTCTTTTAAAAGTAAAAATTTTAATTTAAACCTAGGCTTAAATACGTAAAAATAAAAATAAATTTTTCTCTTTTAAAGATAAAAAATAAATTTTTCTCTTTTAAAAGTAAAAATTTTAATTTAAACCTAGGCTTAAATACGTAAAAATAAAAATAAATTTTTCTCTTTTAAAGATAAAAAATAAATTTTTCTCTTTTAAAAGTAAAAATTTTAATTTAAACCTAGGCTTAAATACGTAAAAATAAAAATAAATTTTTCTCTTTTAAAAGTAAAAATTTTAATTTAAACCTAGGCTTAAATACGTAAAAATAAAAATAAATTTTTCTCTTTTAAAAGTAAAAATTTTAATTTAAACCTCAGCAAACAGCTAAAACCCTACTGTCTACCACAGTAACTATGCCAGTTATATAATCCTAAGTGTTAAATCACTAAAATAA